GTGCTTCTTTCTCAGGTTCATCTCAATAAATTTTAAATAAAAATAATAATAATTGTGCAGTATTTCTTGAGGGAAAAAAGTGAAATATCACAATGTGTTCAAGGAGTTTAATCCTCTAGTGGGACATTATAAGACATTCCTGAATAGAGAACTGTGGGAGAATCTGTAGGCAAAGAGGATGGTTGTCCTGCTCCTGCCCTCAAGGAGTAGCCAGAATTTCTGCTTGTTATCATTACAAAAATGTAGTCAAGTATAATTATTGTTTTTCTTGGCTTATTGTAACTAAAATATGAAATTGCATGGTCTTAGTCATTAATGATGCATAGTAAATGCAAGTTAGAGGGAAAAGCTTTTTGAATCTTATTTTAGGAAAAGCCTACAAATATTGTTTGAGTTATTTAAAAAAAAAATTTGATGCAGGACTCAAAATATTGCTAAGAATGCTATCAAGTTATCGATAGTGAATGCAGCCTATCACAAGTACGTCTGCCTGGCAAATAGCAGAAGTAAAAGTTCAAACCTTTGATTTATATTGTTGATTAAAAAACACTTTCTCAAGAGCTAGAAGCATATATATGATATCATGGGTATGGTAAAAATGCTTTTAAATCTAGGATTACCCTCTGTTTTGGTTAACTGTTTCACAATTATCCCCGTCTTTCAGATCATCTGTTTGTCAATCGACTATGATTTGTAACAAATTGCGTCACAGGGTCTTACTCTTAGTCATTAGTACAGCAAAATGGGGATGTGTTGAAATGTCGATACATCCTGTTATCACTGTATCACTGGCAACTTTCTTGGTTACTTTTAAGATTAAGCTTAAAACTTTCATTCTTGATAAAGCATATACACTGCCTGGCCACCATAAAAAAGGTCACGCACTCTAATATTTCATTGGACCGCCTTTAGCTTTGATTGCGGCACGCATTCGCTGTGGCATTGTTTCGGTAAGCTTCTGCAATGACACAAGATTTATTTCCATCCAGTGCATTAATTTTTCACCTAGAACTTGCACTGATGGTAGAGACTGACCGCTGCGCAAAGCCTTCTCCAGCACATCCCAAAGATTCTCAATGGGGTTAAGGTCTGGACTCTGTGGTGGCTAATCCATGTGTGAAAATGATGTCTC